TTTTTATCAAAAAAAATAAAACTATATTAAACACGTTCAAATTAAAATAGTGAGACCAGAGTATAAAATGAAAACTAAGGTCTTTTTTCTAACCAGCATATTGGTTGATAAACGTATATTTTTTCAATATTTATTCTCAACTCTATGAACACATAACGGGATAAATCATTATCATTTTTCCATAATTCAATCATACCGACACATACTTCTAGGTTTTATACTATAGGTACAATACAATACAATCGTACGAAAAACTTTTTACCTATAGACCAAATAAAACAAACGGAACGAATCATGCATGACCATGAAACAAAATGCAGCGGAAGGAACAAAACGAGTTCGATGTTGTTTTTTTTAATAAAATCTCACCGAGCTTACTCGGTCAAGGTTAAAAACCAATTTATCGGTCATTGATGTGTCATCAGTAAAACTAGATTAGAACTCGATACATATTATTATACGGTCGATGCCCTATGACTTAAATATTACTTGAGCTTGATCTAAGTTGTTTTTACACACATACATACATTTCTTTTTGTTTTAATAAACGTTGTCCCACACTAGGATCTTCTTTGGTGTCGTTTACAAATATACCTGTTCACATGCACATGATACCCAGGCCCGAAAAAACAATTTGTGGATCACAAAAGAGTTGCTCCGTACGGGATTCGAACCCGGTACACGTTACGTGGCAGCCAGTTTTCCGGCCACCGTGCCAACGGTTTAGTCTATACGTTCATAATCTCACGCCTGTCTCCCATGAGGGTAGGCAGAGAGTATGGAACGCCAATTGCAATAATTCTTACATACCTCTTTCGCTTCCATAACAGTCATCAGTCTTTTCAGGCATGCTTTTCAGTTCGTACTTTAGGGAGGGTACTTTTAATTTGACCTTTCTTTAATATATCGTCAATCTGGTCGATATATGTCGTTGTTACTACATCGTTACAATTTATATTATACCTTTCGATAAACAATTGACAATTGTATTAATTGAAATCTCATTTGTTCTGATTATACAATAAACATACACTATATTATGTGCGATTTTAAATATTTATAAACTACTTGCGGACCCGACAGACGTTGTCCTGCATATCCACTTGCATGTATAAACAAAAATCATTCAAATTAGTTCAGCTGTTTAGGATAAATAACCTAAACATCGACTGCAGCGCCATCTGCCGGGCTGATTTTTGTATCTAAACCATCCAGGGCGCCACTTAAAACGCGTACAGAAAAATTATATATATATAAAGATTAGTAGCTTAGTCAAAAATCTCTTTATGCAATGCGTTTTTAATACTTCAAAAAACCAAGACGAAGATACACAAAACAAGTAAGTCAATACACAGTTATCCATTGACGCATTTGACATCGCAAAAAATAATCGAAGCCTATTTCTGTCTAACTGTATACAAACATCAAGCTATTGAAAATTACAACTATATGACGTCACTAACAAGTAAATAATGATGTTTAAAGTGTGACTATGGTCTTAAAGTTCATTGCTCTTTAAAGTAATAACATTTACTTGTCAACATTTTATGCTTCGAGTATGATTCCGAGAATACGTGTTAAATGATGTAAATTATGCCAATTCTGTGATGTACCATATGTACTGGGTTTTTAAAAAAAGGCTCAATGGTATCACCGGTATGTGGCAATAGGCTCACCTCCCATTACATCGGACTCATAACATAAATAGTGAATATGGAGTGTTACATTGTAGTGGCATTAAGTGCCGTAATGTGCACCTCTGCCTACCGCTTCGGGGACAAAAGGTGTGATGTTAGGCGTGTAATGTATCAGTATAATAATATTATGAATATTTTGTTGCATAAATGTGATATTATTAGATTAATTTTCAAAAATAATAACTTTAAAAGTTTTGTCTAAATATCAGCATTTTACTCTTAAATCTGTCATACACCACGGCGTCTAGGAAATCAATAATTTTCTAAAACATTTTGACATAATTATCTTCTTAGATAGATCAATTTCTACTATTTTTATGACACAATTGTGTCCAATGTCATTATAGATACTTTTCAAAGTAGGCAACGAAGTCAGTGGAATGTTACACTTACCAGCTCTGGTATGCAACAGTCGCTTCTCCGATTATCAATCTTAAAGCATGCTCGTTATTTTTTATTAAGACTATTTTAGCTTTTCGACGAAATGTAACCAGTTTTTTGGATTTAAGAGTTTTTACCAGTGACTGACAGAAATGAACGTACTAAAGAAATAAAAATTTATTTAATTAATTTTAACTAATGTAATATTTTCTTCCTTTTCTTTTCATTATTTACTTTTGTCTATTAGTTTTAGTGTATTTGAAACTGTACATACATATTTATTTTTGTTTTCTAATTTCTAAAAGTTGCTGAAAATTAGTTTGAATTCATGTAATAAAATAAAATAATTCTAATAAATAATCATTATCATATTATATTGACTTAAAACATAAGATTGGAAATGGAACCGAAAGGATCAAACATCAATTTAAAGTAAAAGAACCAAAATCTATTATTAAATATAAATTAAGATGGATTTGTTGGCTTCACATCACTCGAAACAAGATTTTAAATCCTTCTGGAAGGCCACTCAAAAGTTGAATGCAAAGCCTGGCCTTCCTGTGTGCGTCGACGGAGTGAGTGATTCGAAAGAGATTGCCGATATCTTTATGAATCACTTCAGTGTGAAATCGCCGCTAGGGCCGCCGTCGTGGGTGCTCGATGTTGAGGTTGGAATGAAGCTGGAAACAAGGTTTAGCGCCAAGGAGGTAGAAAAAACAATTGTTTCTATGTCGAAAGGAAAATCCCCCGGCCATGATGGCCTTAGCATTGAGCATCTACGATACGCGGGTCCGCATTTGCCTAGAGCATTGTCCATGTTTTTTGCATTGTGCATGAGTCACGCGTATTTGCCAGCTGAAATGTTGAGGACTCTAGTAGTACCTGTTCCGAAAAACAAGACTGGCGATATGGCCGATAAAAATAACTATAGACCTATATCATTGGCGACGATTGTTTCGAAGGTGTTTGACAGTTTGCTTAACACGCAATTAAATAAATGTATACAACCTCATGATAATCAATTCGGGTTTAGGCCCGGATTGTCTACAGATAGTGCTATCTTGTGTCTTAAGCAGACTGTCAGATACTATATGGATAGAAAAACGCCCGTGTATGCTGGATTTCTCGACCTCTCAAAAGCTTTTGATCTGGTTTCCTACGAAGTTTTGTGGAAGAAGCTCAGTAATACGAAATTGCCAAAAGAACTTATTAATATCATCAAGTACTGGTACAGGGGCCAGGTCAATTGCGTCAGATGGGCTGGAGTCAGGTCGGACGTGTACGGGCTGGAGTGCGGAGTGAGACAAGGTGGACTGACATCGCCCACCCTCTTCAGCCTGTATGTGAATGACTTATTAGAGGAGCTCAGCCGCACTAGGTTAGGTTGCTACATAGATGGTGTGTGTTTAAACAATATTAACTATGCCGATGATATGGTGTTGTTGAGTGCGTCACCCTGTGGTCTCAGCAAATTGTTAGGGATTTGCGAGAGGTATGCGCTGCAGCACGGGCTTGTGTACAATGCGAAAAAGAGTGAGGTTATGGTCTTTGGGACCGGCGGAGGCGGTGCATTTATCCAGATGCCTACTATTAAATTGAATGGTGTTCCTCTACAGAGAGTACAACAATTTAAATATCTGGGGCACTGGCTGACTGCCGATCTCAAAGATGATACGGACATTGAACGGGAGCGAAGGGCGCTGTCTGTACGCGCTAACATGATTGCCCGCAGGTTTGCGCGCTGTACGACTGAAGTCAAAGTTGCCTTATTTCGAGCATATTGTACTTCGTTTTACACGTGCGGTCTGTGGGCTCATTTTACACAAAAAGCATACAGCGCCCTTCGAGTTCAATATAATAACGCTTTTAGGGTGCTGATGGGGTTGCCCCGTTTTTGTAGTGCCTCGGGAATGTTTGCAGAAGCCCGCGTAGATTGCTTTTATACAGTAATGCGTAAGAGATGCACATCCCTAGTGCGGAGGGTGAGGGGTAGCAACAACAGCATCCTGAAAATGATATCTGGCCGACTGGATTGCGAAATAGTAAATAGATGTTGTCGACTGTCCGCGGGACTTGCGCCGTGATTATTGTACAATGACATTTTAGTTAAATTAAATATTATAATTAATGACATGATTTTGTGTTGTCCTGTCTGTATTTATTTTCGTATATTGTATTTTCTTGTATATTGACCTATTAAATCATATATATAATGTGTACTAACATTAGTTTTTAAGTTCAATGTTACTAACAAGAATATGGACATGGTCTGAAATAAATGATTATTATTATTATTATATTATTCTTTACTTTTTACTATCCAGAATAAGCCCTCAAAGCCAGTACAGACTGCGGACAATCCGTATTGTTGTTTTGATTAAATTTTGACAGAGAAATGCAGATTGTTCTTTTTATGCAGCACCGGAAAAATTGAAGTATACCGAGCTAGAAATATTTTTATTGAAATCTTTTTGACTGCAAAGACATAAGCAATCAATATTATTTTATGAATCGAATTGATTTGGAATAGAGTTAAAAATTAATCTTAAATAAAATGTATACCTATTCATTATTTTGATCTTAGTCATTTATCAAACATAACTATAAAAAATGATTGCAAATACGAAGACGCATGATAACTACTTTTATTAAAAATTTTAATCCGAGAAGCATGCTAATTTCGTTATTATCGTTTTATATGTAAATAATATCAAATTAGAAATACAATTACTGTACACAACTGTGGCAAATTATATTGAAATGTAATTTCTACTGTCCCAGCAATCGGTGTAACGCTCCACCGGCTGTCTCGATCTTGTCCCTGAAGTGTTGCGTTGCTTGCCTAACGCTTTCTTCATCATCCAAACTAAGAGCTAAGTATAAATAGCTTCGACAAAACAAGATCAACACAGTCAAGTCACAAACATGAAACTGTTAGTAGCAGTGGCGGTCTTATGCCTAGCGGCGGCTTACGCTCGTGAGCTAGGCGAGGAGGAGAAGGACCTCGTCGCAGCGGCCAGTGGGAAGAGCCATCATCACGAAGAAGGCGGTGGTCATGAACACCACGCCGACCATCATCATGAACACGGTGAAAAGGGACACAAAGGTCACAAAGGACATCACCACCACCACAAAGGTGAACATGGACACCATGGAAAACATCACAAGGAAGGACACCATCACGAACATGGTGGCCATCACAAGAAGCACTGGGATGAGCATGATCATCATGGACATCATCACGAGCATGGACACCACCATAAGGGTGGCAAACATGGCCATCACAAACACCATGACAAGGGTGAAAAGACCGACGGTTACCACAAGAAATACCACAAGGACGAGTTCCACAAGGACCACCACTTCTACGACGACCATCACAAGGAAGGCAAGCATCACAAGCACGGTAAACATCACGGACACCATGAAGATAAGGGAGGACACCACAAGAAGGGAGGTCATCACGAACATGGACACCATGAGCATCATCATGGCAAGCATGGACACCATGACAAACATCACTACGATGAAGACCACAAAGGACACAAAGGACACCACGGCCATGAAGAACACCATCATCATCATCACGATCATGGCAAGAAGGGAGGTCATCACGACCACAAGGACTGGGGTTTCCATCATGGAAAACATTGAGATGCCAAAAATATGCTGTGATATTATTTTATATTTTTGTTACGGGTTTTTGTTAGTTTTTTATAAATTATTGAATAAGCATCGTTACAAAAATGTGCGAATAAAATTGTTATATTTCTATTGATCTGTTTTATTGACCTGATGACCGTGTTGTAGTTTAGAAAGTTTTTATAAAAAGCATTAATGAATTGTGTTATATTAGTTACACGGATTTCTATCTAAACTGGAATTGACTTATACCTACGTAGAATCAGCATAAACTAAGTATGAGTTACTTTATGTAATTGAATGGTAAATATTACATCTCTAAAGTGGAAGAACCTAAAATAAGGAAAGATACACGAAAAGTAACGATTTCGATAAATAGCATAAAATATGAATAAACTAAATGAAACTTCTGTTCCTAACAACACCATGGTCTTCGGAGCATTGCACTTCAAAAGCCATACTAGTCTAGATTCAGTCTAGTTTCTATTTTGTCAAAAATATCATCCAATAGTCGAATTATGAAAATTTGAATATACAATGTTATAAATATAAGTAAATTATACAATTATGTTACAACAACCTTATTTCTACCGTATGCTTCTTTTACGTATACTGCATTAAATCTGCCATAAATATTTTCTAAATGTTTGAAATGATATTTTACTGCCTACTTTTATGCACACCAATTAATGTATAACATTGTATCACTTGATTTCTAATATTTTCGACTTATTCGCTGTAGATTGTTTTCATTCATCTATTGAAATTTGAAACAACATTATCATTATCTCTCTATCGTCTCTTTTTAAATAGAATTCATTTTTGACCAAGGCGTAATGATTATCTCCCATAAACATAATTGAAAAAAAAACCTTTCAGTTTATTATGTCAATATCATTTTATTACATTGCCTTCTGCATACAATATATTGAAGATATATATGTACAACAACATCACCAGTCGGTTCTCGTGCACTGCTTGACATATTATGCCTCTCCAATGGTATGCCACTGAGCTACCTTGCGGATATCGTCACTCCACCTAGCTGGAGAGCGCCCTACACTATATTTGCCTAGACGCCGTCTCCACTCCAGAACACGTCTACCCCGACGGTCATCGGTTCTTCGACTTATATGACCGGCCCACTGACATTTCAGCTTGCTAATCCTTTGCGCTACGTTGGTAACTTTAGTTCTCTGTCGGATCACCACGTTACGGATCCTATCCTTTAGAGAAACTCCGTCAACTAATTGTAATATGATTTATTTCTTCAGATGGACATTTCATTCAAATTTAATGTAGGTAAAAGCTAATATTCTATAATTACATCATGCTAAAAATACACCAAAACAAGAAACGCAATGCATTTATTTTCTCAACATATATGTAACAATAACAGAATATTTACGAACAGCATAAATACGAAGCACGTTTAACTAAATATAATAATGTCTAAAAAGAGATTCGTTGTTTTGTATTTTCCAGTCTTTAATTTTTAAACTACATTATAAAATGTTTTCTCACTCTAGGATTTTCTCTAGTATAGTAAATGCTTTTACAAATATACACATCACATTCAGGCCAGGAACAATAATTTGTGGGTCACACAAAAACTTGTTCGGCGCGTGAATCGAACCCGCAACACGTTGTGCAGCAGCCACTTGACCTACTACTGTGTCAACCGTGCAGCACATTATGTTGTTACTTTAATTCTAGGTTTGACGTTAAGATATAATTTTATTAACATTTTAAGTTAGTATAAATAAATAGCAAATAGTCGAATAATATAAAACCACAATATAATAGTTTTTGTACTCCTAACAATAAGGTAGGCAGAAAAACACATACCCACATTGATAATCTTATAGCAATTTTCGACTATCTGTGTTAAAATACACCGAAAAAAAATATATTACTAATTAAAAAAACAACAATAATACCCACCATTGATTGGATCCAGAAAAATCAAACCAAAATCTTTTTGCTTTGTGATTGTTTTTGCACCCACTGGAAACCAGAGGCAGTTTTATACTGTTCTACAGAAGTTCAGCAGTGTCAAGGTCTTATAATTGATTGACGACAGACTAGTCACTGAGGAATGCTATATTGCAATATATTGTCAAACAAAGCATCAGGAAGGAAATGAAATTTCAAAAGATTTGAAAGAGGTATGAGTAAAGAGTATGAGTTTAGTAAAGGATTTCTGATATAGTTTTTTAATATAACGTCACAATTTTTACTTTTGGAAGATTAAGATTAAGCAGGTAGTTTGAGATAATTACTTTTGAATACTATCAAACAAATATAAAACAATAAAATAAAAAAATATGAAGATTTTTCACACGTTATCACGACAAAATTCTGAAAACATGAAAATCCTGAAAACATTAACACTACACTCGCTGAACGGAAGTCATTGACTTTTGACCCTGAAATGTTCTGACGCTTACCCAACACTTTCCTCATCATCCTAACAAATTCAGAACTATAAATAGCTTCTACGATAACAGATCAGCACAGTCAATCACCAAACATGAAATTGTTAGTAGCAGTAGCAGTTTTGTGCTTAGCCGTAGCTTACGCTCGGGAACTGGGCGAGGAAGAGAAGGACCTCGTCGCAGCAGCCAGTGGGAAGAGCAGCCACCATGAAGAGGGCGGCGGCAAGGAGCACCACGGTCATCATCATCATGAACATGGACACAAGGGACACAAAGGCCATCACGGACACCACCATCACCATAAAGGTGACCACGGCGGTCATGGCAAACACCACCATGGAGAGCATCACCACGAACATGGCGGCCATCACAAGAAGCACTGGGATGAACACGATGACCATGGCCATCATCACGAACATGGACACCACCACAAGGGTGGCAAACATGGCCACCATGAGCACCATGACAAGGGTGAGAAGACCGACGGTTACCACAAGAAATACCACAAGGATACCTTCCACAAGGACCATCACTTCTATGACGGCGACCACAAAGAAGGCAAGCACCACAAACATGGTCACCATCATGGACACCATGGACATGAGGGAGGACACCACAAGAAGGGCGGTCATCATGAACATGGACATCACGAGCACCATCACGGCAAACATGGACACCATGACAAGCACCATCATGATGACGACCACCATGGACACCACGGTCACCATGGCCATGAAGGCCATCATCACCATCATGATCATCATGGCAAGAAGGGAGGTCATGACGACCATAAGGACTGGGGATTCCATCATGGAAAGCATTAAGTAACCAAATCAGACTGTGATACTAATATAAATATTTCTTACGACTTTTTATAACTTTTTGTTAATTGTTTTTTGTTGAAAAATGTATGAATAAAATTGTTATATTTGTTTATTTAATAACTTGTTTATTTTCCATTCAATCTTCACCAATACCAGTTTCATGTCATGAATAAATAAATCATGAATAAAATATTATGACCAAATTAACGATGCTCATCACCGTATAAACAATACAAAATAATTTAGCTCTATCCAAATTAAAACCTAAGTAGCATTAAAATTAAGCTGGCTTTACATAATTACATTCGTAACACGCTGACCGTAATCAATCTTGCCAAAAAGATCACCTGTCCCTTCGGATTAATAAGGGGAATTCGTATGTGGCTAATTTCAAATCCCGTGTAATAGATGGCTATGTTCCATAGGCAGTCGTAGGCTTAGCCGGATTTTGGGATATTTTTATTGGATTGGACTTTTTATTTGACAGATTAGAAAGACTATTAATTATATTGTTAGGCTGTGAACTATTAAATTGTTAATTCAAAGTTTTGGGCGATATAATGAAGTTGTACTATGTGAACTATTTTACATTGCAACAGTTTTATAATGATAGGAGTATCATACATACATACATACTTATGGAGGTAGGCAGGAGACTGAAACGCCAATTGGTACGATTCCTACATACCTCTTTTGCTTCATCAACTTTCATCAATCTTTTCATGCATGTTAGTTACTTAACCCTTTGAGTACCGTCATTATAGACACAATTAAAGAACGATAGGTGTGCGGACACCTGTGTCCTCGCGTTGTTTGACAGTTTAAGGGTAGGTACTGTACTACGGTTAAGGAGTATCATTGTTATATTAAACAAATTAGCTAGCTTCTAATATTGAATAACTTATACTTGAGGATACTCGAAAATTTTCTTCAGTAATCGACCTACATTTATGTAAAAACAACCCACTCGAAGAACATAACTATTCAACTTCCATTACCATTACTTACCAAGCACTATCATTGAATAATAATTCAGCTAAAGATTAGTTATCCTCTCTCAATATTCCCCAAGTAACGAATAACTAATTGTTTTAAGAGTCGATCCAATAATTTTGCCCTTTATCCAATTACTTGATGTCTACTAACAAGATCCTAAGAAAATAGATCGGAGTTAAATTGACAGAGGCCCCAGTAAGGGTCCTGAGATAAAATAACATTGTAGAAGGCCTTAGATTACAATAAAGTGCGTTTATTTAAACATACTAGTACAATCTGGATAACGTCTGTTTTACTTTAGTTTCTATATTAATAATTACACTTCTCTTATAAACGCAAATGGTATATAAAGGTGCTCCCAAGCATTCACGTGTAAAGTAACATTATAGATTCGTCTTTGAGCATTGCATTACAATAACACCTCCCTGACTTACGAGCATTTGCGTGTAATGTAAAATATAGATTTGACTTTGAGTATTTCATAACAAGATGTCAGACATTGATGTTACAAGTTGTATCAAGATATTAAACATTGTATCATTACAAGGTGCGCATTGTAATGCTCGGTTCTCCTCCTTCACTGATGTAATGCTCAGATCTGTAACGTTACATTACACAGAATAATCATATAAGAATTAACCAAATTTTAGTAGGATGTTAAGTAAATAAAATTGTATTGTATAAGGAACATAATACAGAAGGCGTTTCCGCATTCCACATACCTTTATGGATTAAGGTATAAAGTTAATATTTAAAGTGTAAATTAAGTGTACATTTTTTATTTTTATTTATTTATTTATTTATTTATTTATTTATTTATTTATTTAACAAAAGTACAATTTTAGGATTAACATGTTGTTCTTATAATTATATAGATCCTCGCCAAACATATCGTTTAACGGCGAGAAGCGCTCATTTCTTATTCTTACTAGCTAATTAAGTAGGTACCTTATTATATCATTAAAAGAAAACTGAAATCAAAAAAAAAAAAACAAAAACAAAAAATACACATTATAAAAGATAGAAATTAAAGAATGCATTGCCTATGCTCTTTATTTTAAATCTATAACTATTTTTTTTACTTTACTATTGACAATTTATTTGACTGCACAGTTGGCGCGGTAGCTGAACACCTGGCTGCTGCGCAACGTGTCACAGATTCGATTCCCGCACGGAGCAACTCATTATGTGATTCACAAATTGATGTTCCGGGTCTGGGTGTAATGTGTATGTGAACTTGTATGTTTGTAAACGCACCCACAACAGAAGAGAAAATCCTAGTGTGGGGCAACGTTATTAAAAGAAAAAAAAAATAAGTGAGATTGTAATTTAAGTGGTCTGCACGATTGAATAAGTTACAGTGGAGTTGGCATATCCTTGTTGAATAAAACCACAATACCGTTATAAATAAACATACATGAGGCAGACATGAACACTCATGTTTTGCTTCACTAGCAATCTCGTCATGGTTTAAGTGAAAATCAAAATCCCTTACTTGAAAAACATTACACTACATATCATAATATTACACAATAAATGTAACACTAACTACAAACCACAAATAATCGCAGTTGTTCTGTGGTTTAACTTTACCAGTCGCAGTTAACGATGGTCGGGCACCAATGCAACATCATTTCAAATCGTTGCGTTTAGATAGATACAAAAGGTCGTTCCAAATGGTGCGTTTGATTTAACGTTCAAATCATTAGTTGCAAGTAAAATGTAAGCCTATTGTTACATTTGGTTAGGTAAGGTGTCAATGACTTCGAATCAATGGTGTTTGGGCTGTTTTTATTACGATTTTGTCAAGAAAACATAGTTTACGAATGATTTAGTTGTATAGATATAACATAACAGAATTTCAGTCCAGTATATTGAAATTCTCGATACTTTTTACCTTTGATTATCTTTAGCCTTGTCATGGAAAATCACACCTCATTTGACTTGCAATACTTTTTTTTAACTTCAACAAACTACTGCTCTCTACTCGCTGGTGCAACACATTTTGCTGTAACTGTTTTTTTTTTCTTTTTTTAAACGTTGCCCCACACTTGGATTATCTCCTGTGTCGTGGGTGCGTTTACAAACATACAAGTTCACATACACATGACACCCAGACCCGAAACAACAATTCGTGGATCACACAAAGTGTTGTTCCGTGCGGGAATCGAACCCGCGACACGTTGCACGGCAGCCGGGTACCCAGCCACCGCACCAACCGTGCAGTCAATGTGCAGTGCAGTGTTAAAGTCAGTGTTACAGTTACTGTTAAATGTGACACTAACTAATACTATAACTACTTTCTGTGGCGCAACTAAGCCTTAATGTAACATAAACAAATGTTACCTTCGTAAAACTTTAATTTGTTACCTAAAGACTAAATTTTCACCTAGTTCATTTTCTAACTATGACAAAGCAAATGATGAAAGTGAGACTTAAAAATGCTCCATCAAGCTACAACCATAAATCGCCGGTGTGCGGAGAGCACCATCTAACTTTGCCCAACTTAGCCCCGAGGGTATTGTATAACTTAATGGAAGTAACTTAGAAGATAACCGTGTATTTTGGGGGTGGGGGCTATTATTAGTAAAATGATATATCGATAATATTCTGTTAGATTGATAAAGTTAGATATATGTGTCTGAAAGTTCTATATACAATATTGTAAATAGAACTTTACTTATGTAGGTATATACCTACATAAATAAATTACTAAATTTTTTTAACAAAACAACATTTCGTCACGCTTTTTAACCCCGAAGGGGTAGGCAGAGATGCACATTTCGGCACTTAATGCCACTGTACAATGTAACACCCACTTTTCATTATTGAGCCTATTGGCATATACCGGGCACTAATCCAAACTCCGTCCTACTACTAAGATCTTTTTAAAAACCCAATTATACTTTGCCCGACCTGGGAATCGAACCCGAGACCCCTTTTGCGGTAGTCGCACATTATTTTTATATACATACTTATATTAGATGGGCCGACGTTTGACCACTATCTCGCCTAGTGGTAAGTTATGATGCGGTCTACGATGGATCACGTCGTCCCATAAGCAACCTATTCACACGGCCTTTGAAGACACCCAGGTAACAATCTAACAAAGAATTCCACTCCTTAGCAGTACGCATAAAAATTTTACTCACAAAATCTCTTGACGCAGTGTGTGTCAGTGTACTTCTGGACTACAGAGTAGAATACTCCTTTACAGTTTTGTAATAATCACCACGCGTGACAGGTGGATTGGAGGTCATAGTTTAAAAGTTTCGAGTTCATCAAATAGCATTACTGCCCAGTCTCTTTCGCGCAGTAGTCCTTTAATCGCTTCTTATTATACATGAGAATATAGTCTTGCACCTACAATTTACTCTTCTCTGCATCACCCAAAGGTCAGACTGGTAGAAAATGCCTGCGGCATTAAGTCCACCTTTTTGTACATTTTGTGCATGAAGCATATTAAATCTATATATATAAAAGAAAGTCGTGTTAGTAACACTATTTATAACTCAAGAATGGCTCAATAGATTTGGATGAAAATTGGTGAGGACGTAGCTTAGCACCAGGAGACGGACATAGGATACTTTTTACCCAATACTTTTTTTTACTTTTTACCGAAAATCAAGAACGGGAACAGGAAATATCGGGGTTGCGCGAACGAAGTCGCGGGCAGAAGCTAGTTAATAAATAAATATAGTCGGGATGATTTCAAAATGTTTTCCACGGCTTTAAATAGCTTGCATCTTTGTAAAGTATGACAATGTACCATCATAATTTTACACACAAAACAACAATTCTGTTTCACAAATACTTACGTACATAATCAATGAAACGAAGTACGCTTTACAGAATACGTGCCACCTGTGGAGACTGGGGGATATCGGGCGTACACAAAGCCGCGTTTCATCCCCCCATGTGTACTAAGCTTTATTTAAACTTTTTTGTTTTATTCGACAGTGCGTTCGCACCTTTTGTTTTGTTTTTTCATACACTGCTTGTTTGTTGTGGTGTGATGCGGGTTCTATCGTGTGTGTTGTATTAGCCGTCTGTCGCTGAGGATGT